ATACAATCATATAATATAATATAGGACGTGATACACCAATGTAATCAGGAAAAAGAGTACAAAAAATTGAATTTCAAATACTTTTGGAACTTTTATCCTAATGGAAATCATAGTTGGTTGCAACATTATAATATACTACTTGCTACACGGTACCCAACGACGATATAGTGTGATATAAGTAAACATTGCCCCCATTTTTTAGTATAGAATCCATTGTAAAATAGCAAAAAAGGGGTTTTAAAAAATAGAGATTTTGCATTTTCTACTACTGGACTATCTCTATACTCCGAACAACGTTTTTGGACAGTTTCTACAGGTAAGGCTCTATTTAAGCTCTACTTCGTGTTCTTTATAAAAGACAATGTACCTGCTTTTGAATAAATATATTTTCCGAGGATTTCCAAGAAATTTGAATACCTAATTCAAAAAAATAAATGAAAAGTAGGTCAACTCTTACGTGGGCCAACTTCCGATACAAGAAGTGGTATAACATTGGAAATTTTTTATCTGAAACGGGCTCATTGGATAACCCTTGTACAGAGAGATTCTTTTAAAACAATACATACGTAAGATTTCCCTGTGTAACCCTTTTAATGTACCACATCAAAGCATTAGAAATTTTAGATCAAATTTTAGGGAACTGAAATAGCACCTATTGGCCAATGCCCCTTAAAAATAGGAAAAATTTGTAATCGCTTAACTAAGAACGAAAGCACATTATATACCACTAAAATTCATAAAATACATTCAAAATCCTCAAAATACTAAACATATTTTTGGAAATTTATGTTTTGTATCAAAATTTCCTTTGAAATTCCAGTATTTTTTGGAAATTGTTCAATACTTAGTAGCGTGTAATGTAACAAAACAAAATTGTTCTCGTATAACTTTTAAAAGTTAGCATATGAATACTGCGAGGAATACTGTATTAGAAAATCAAAATTTCAATATTTGGGAGTGGAAAGATTCAAAGAAATTATTTTAACAGTAGAACATTGATCCAAGGTTACAAAACATGTATTAGATTTCCACATGAAACCCTGCACTTAAAAAATTGGAGCACGAAGACTGAAATAATTTAAAGCATGGATCATCATGGATCAAGAAGTATTTTCAAGCCAAAATGTCAAAATTCGAGAGTTGAAAAGTGAACAAAAATACATTTTCAATTCTGAAATGAAATTTTAAACTACAGGAATTGTAAGCTACCGCAGCTTTATATTTTCACTTATAATTGCACAAGAGGTTTGTATTTTACCGAGTAAATTTGGGTTGTTTAGGTAATGAAAATCTGTTGCCTAGCAATTAGACGAGAAAAACTGTCAACTAATAAAAATGCGACACCGCAGGTGGAGCATTTTTAGGTTGACAGTTTTTCGAGTCCAATTGCTAAAAGGAAACAGATTTGAATTGCCACAACCCAAATTTACTCGGTTTAAATACAAACCTCGAGTGTAATTCGGCAGGACAATTTAACGAACAAGAAATTCACCAACTAATCAATTATTGACAGACGTCAAACTAGTCATATGGGAAAGGATAATGCGATAATTGGTTCGAAAATGAATAAGTGAAAAAACCACTAGTGCATTTGTCGCTGGAAAAGTTGCAGGTAACTTTTGCCGCTGTCAAAGTGACAATTTCACTGCGGCTTATGCGATTTTTTATACATGAGTTGAATTGTCACTTGAAAAACATTTCCTAAATTTGAAATTTTAAAATCTGAAGAACAAAAACTGCACATAAAATAAACCGATACAACGGAATATCGAATGATCCTCAGTAATACCATGACTTTTTTAACGGCTATTTATTTTAAACATATAATGCATTAAATTAATGTCTTGGGCATTAATATAATGCTCTTGATCTTTTTTCTCACGATCTCGGTGCAAGAATAACAGCTTTGATATGTTTTGAGCAAAATCCATGCGGTATAATGCTCTTGGTCTATTTCCCAACGATCTTGGAGCATGAATAATGATTTTGGTATGCTTTGATTAAAATACAAGTGGCCTCAGAAAAAGAATTCAAAAACGTACGTAAATTAAATTTGGTTACGAACAAAACGGAAAAGTCGGAACGCTCACGATTGGGTGTATCTCCAGCAGGAACCAAAATTTCGGTAAAGATATTCTTCAACAAATTTGGATTGATTGTTGGGATGTGCCTTGGTATCCGCAGGGGAAATCTCTAGATTACCTCCGAAAGATGGCACTAGAATTGGTAAAAAAATTTCAGAAATTTTCTCAATGTTTGAAGAATTTTCTATTGTGGAGTAGGTATAAACTTAAATATACCTAAAAGTTACATGAGAGGTAAGTAATACCCGTCACCGATTTTATTTACTAAACAGGTGATGTTGGAAATAAACAATTTTTGAAGAATTGATAAATAAAATATATAAAGAATCGGAAGAATCTTTAGTGAGCATCTTAACAGGTTCATGAAAAAGTGAAAGGAGTTTGAAGAATCTATACAGATTCTCTAAAAATCAAGATAAGTATTTAACAATTTCATGGAGATCTATTAATAACTTAAAGAACATTTAAATAATAACTTTCAAGAATCTTTGAACACAACAACCCTTAACGAATCCCTTAAAGAATCCATAAAAAACATCGGAAAAAGTTTCTATTATCTGTTCACCCAACACATATGCATATTTATTTATTTATATTTAATGCACATATCTATCCCAAGTCCCGGGACGGAGTTTCAAACAAGCAAAGAAAAAAGTCTGAAAATTTAGGGATCAGTAAAGGCACATAAAAACTATATTTTAAAAGCTTGAAAACTTTTATACAATTGGGACTTTTTAAAGGGGGATAACCCCCGAAATTTTTAAATTATACAACCCTTGTCGAGTTTCCCAGTAGACAAAATTGTAATTTTAGTTTTTAGGTACCGGTAGACCAGTTAAGTTATGATAAATTTATGGTAAAAAACTGAATATCAATCACATCGGTAGTAAGGCGATGCCGTACGAGATTCTCTGGGCGCTGGGGCTCGGGGCATCTTTCGCCCTTTTACCCCTTTCTCTCGATGGCCCTGCTTGGAGCTTGTGAGTATCTTTCATCATTTCTGAAAAAAAGTTTAAATAATTTCTAAATGTGAAAAACCAGCATGCAGTTATTATGTTTGATTGGTAGGTAATTAAATTAGAAATGAAAAAAATGTACAGTGCTAATAATTATTTAAACTTTCAGCACGTCATGATTTACTACATTTGAATAATGAATTTTGGTAATTATTTTAAATAAAATAGTATTAACTTTCTCAAACTGGCTTTGGCTTTTTGGCAGTGAGTGCCAAATTGAGTAAGTAATTATGTAGCTATTTTGGTCGAATCCCTAATAGTAAACAGTAGTGTGTTAACTTTTTAGTCACAAAAATCCAAAAATACTTATAATTTAATTACCATGAAAAGAATAAATTGCGTGCCGTTTTTGGGTCAAATTTAAAACCACCTTCAAAATAATATCCTGTCAGTCATTTAATTTAATTAGCAAGGGTGCTGTTATTTATATAGATTCGGCTTTCAATTTACCAACTTTGCTTCAATTAATTATTTATTCAGGTGGGGCGCCTAATATGAGCACCCTGTATACTAGAATATCAAAAAATTTTGTAATTCACGTGTTATTTATCAGACACAAGACGCTTTTTTGTTCGTCTAAGTCGTATGTTGCATATAATTATTACTAATGCATAAGCACTTTGATCATTGGTTACCAAACATATTTATACATCTCGAGAGTTGTCAATCAATCGAAGGATGGCGAGAGCCCACCCTTACTTCAGGGCCAGGGGGGCCACATGAAGGTCCCTAACCACATTTGTCATTAAATGTGCTTGTAAACACGTAATATTTGTAGAATGTTTGCGGTTTTGTTTCCAAATATAATTGACTACGACTATGCAAATTAGAAAAATAAATGCGTACAAGAGCAAAATTTGCGCCTTATGTTGTGTACAAATGAGAATCTCCCTTTTGTTTCCTGTTTCGCAGAGAATTTCCAAACCTAGACCAAAACATACGGTTACGCTCTGGGAAATTTGTGATAAATACGGTAGAAACTGTGAGTGAACTGGGAGGTTAAATATAGCACGGTTTGAATTCGTCGTGACTATAAAATTTAAAAATACTATAAACAAAAATATGTGTCCACCAGACACGGTTGCGCCAAAAAAAATTAAAACCCCCGCCTCATACGATGATGGATTAATTGCCAATTACCACGATTTAATTTTGCTTGGCTTCGATACGAATTTGAGTGCTTTTGCACATTTCAATATCATCGAACTAGATCACATAAAAAGAAAAACCAGCACAAATTGGCACGTGTACGTACAGCGTACATACCTACTTTATTGTTCAGTCTAGACATGTAAAAAAGCCAAAGGGCGGCGGATTTTTTAAATTTTTTCTTAGTCATTATCTTTTTTGTTAACGTGTGACGATTAATCAGCGTACACGTGAAAACACCTGTAATTATTCATAGATTAGTTTAATCATCTTACTTAGATTTTGATTAATCTAAAGGGGTCGGCGGAATTCGAAGAATAATAACAAGCCATTGCCATTTGTTGGGCACAAACCGCATTGGAAAATAGCCTAAGCAACCACATCCCTTGATTAATAAAAATATTTGTACAATTATTTGTATTGATTAAATGAATGCATGAGGTCGCCCTCTATTGTCGGTAACTACCGTTGTTTATTTATAAATGCGATACGGTCTCCATCTGATTTTAGCATGCTGTAGGAACAACTCATAGAACGACACCGCGCGCCATCTATCTGGGCATAGTTCCACTAGAGCTAGGCGCCATACGTGTGTAAATTGTTTCAATAGGTGTCTCTAGTGTCTTTCATTTATACAAAAAATTGGCGCCTAATTCAAATTGTAAGTGGTTACCACGCTATCTGAATGTACGACTATAATTTGCCTATCAAATATAGGGGTGAAACCCTTCATAGTATAAAGTTAGCTTACCGGTGTCATTGAGGAGGCGTTGGATGGAATCTTCGCCTCCATCGGTTTCGGTGGATAAACCTATAAAAAAAGGAGACAAATTAAAATTAATACGTTGAAGTGAATTATAATTTAGGTGATCGAACACACAAGCAAGACACTTTCTATTTCATTCTCTATGAGAAAGTGAATGTGATCAATCACTTGGTGCATTCCAATTTAATTTTGATGTTTCGAATTTTTTCTCCTATAACCTTAATTATAGGTTTTATTGGTGGACGGTAATTTGTTGTTTGTATGACATTTCTACATGATTTATTGAATTTTTGGCCTGCTTAAACTAATTTCAGAATCGACGTTTAGTAAGATCATGTAATTTTACGCGATTAAGGGTTGTGATTTGCAAAAGGTATGAGAAAATTGTCATTTCTTTAATTTGCTGCATAATTGCAAGGCATTTTACACTGTTTTATTAGTTGGAAGAATACGTTTGATTTTTTTGCTTCTCCAAAGTCTTAATTATTAATATTTATTAAACTTTTTTATACAAATGTAATCTAAATCAGTGCAAATTAAAGAGGATATATGAAAATGTTAATATTTTGTAAACTACATCTGTAAGATGACATTCTTCGTTTCGAACACATTTTTGAAGTCTTTTGGTGGGCATATCCAATGGAATGTTGTTAATCTCCTGTTGGATTCGCTCCTTCAGTTCGTCTCTAGTTCTGGATGGGTTTGATTCAAAAACCTTGAGCTTTAAATAACCCCACAAACTCTTTTTTCTTTGTACTTTTGAAACTTAATTAATTTTCACGATTCGTTCACACCTAAAGTTAAAATTAACAATTTTGGCGGTCATTTTCGGAGATGCATTTTTTGATATGTTAATCAGCAGAATTTCTACTTAAACTCAGTTAATTTTTCATCGACAGAAATTTAATTTTAAGGTTCCTATCGGGAAACGAGATAGACTGACTGGAATGAACAGAGAACATTAATAAAAATAAAAAAGTAGCACATAATATCGATTTTCAATTTCAGTTTTACTATGGGTATATTATAAGACCTGGAATTAGCATATTTCGTCCACAATTCCTCCACAGTAATTCTTCGCCATTTTTCTACAGAGTACTACAAAGTAATTAATTCATTACCTTGCCCCCCAACAATACATTTTTTTATTATTTAGGCATCATATCATAATGAAAAATTTTACATCAATACCAATCCGACTTGCTTATTTGTTTAGCACTTCCATTAGGGATTATAAGGGATACATTCATGTCAATTAGGAACAATTGCAATAATAGTCCAGGGAATTGAGACTTTGAACTCGTAGTAGTTCCAATTTTTCTTGCATAGGCAGTCTGGTGGCTAAAAATTCAAGTTTTCGACCTCCCACCCCTTTTGTGCTTCCCCTGTACCACCACTAATACCCCCGAAATGTAGTTGAGTTCTTAGTTTTTCAATCTTTGTAAAGGTACACTTTATAATTACAGAGATCACTTCACTTCATTATGCGCTAATAGGTGCTCAGGCGCATTATAAGCAATTTTACTCGTTACCATTTTTCGGACGAAATTTGTAAATAAATGATTTAGTTCTACCACTTAAATTCGAATTGGCATAAATTAGTTCCTTCTCATGAAATCAAAGTGCTCTGTCCGATGAAATTTGTGAATAAATGAAGATTTTGATCTGCTATTTAACCCCGAATTTAATCAAAAGACAAAATGACATATAACTTAGTTCTTACTCATGAAATCAAAGTATCCTGCCGTTTTTTGCACGAAATTTGTGAATAAATGAAGATTTTGTTCAGCACTTAACCTCCAAATTAAAGAATAATGGCACAAAATTTAATTCCTTCCTACGAATTCAAAGTGTCCTACTGTTTTTGACACAAAATTTGTGCTCTACCACTTAATTTATTTAAAGAAAAACATGAAACCATACTGTATCTATTCTTTACACTATGCTGAAACTTAATCAAAGACAGATGTGACAGATGCTGAGATGTAGAATTTGTTATCGCGATATTAAAGCTGTGGTCTAAGCTGAATGTTTCATCTTCGTATTTTGTAAATGTTGTGCGTGAGTGCACCATCATGTTGAATCCAACAGTTTCCATCTTATGTTTCTTTGTGTGCTGTAGATCATTATATTGTAATTAAAAAATGCTACTTGATACAGTACGTACTGTTTTAGGGGCCATATAAAAAGTTGATGATGATTTTTCCGAAACGAAACGTTGTATTGAAAATCTCTCAACGCTGTTCACATAGCGGCAATGAGAAAGTGATTTTTTTTTTGTGCCCGAAACAAATACTAACGAAAAAGTGCGTACTCCATTCTACTCTATACTAGCATATTTATAAACTGTGAATATACACTATACAGGGTGAGTTTTTTCCGATGCTTAGTATGGGTATCTCGTAAAGCGTAAGGGATACAACATTTCAAAGTCGTTTAAATGGGCAAAGAATTGCAAAATTTTATGTAGATTAATTTTCCCTTTCCGAGTTTCTTGTGGCCCTACAAATAACGAACGGTCAAAAAACCGAAAAATGTCATTTTCAATTCGTTTAACGCCCCCATGGAATTATTGCCATAAGAAATACATTTAAGGCAAAATTCAAGATTAATTACTAAATGAAATACTAAAGGTGTTTACCATCATGGTTTTGAAAGTTTTTTCTCTTTCGAGTGACGTAAAAATTTAATATGGCAATTAGAAAGTTGATGTGATTTACTTAAAACCCACAACATCATCAGAAATCTGGGAAAGATTACTAACGGTCTGTTTGTTGATATTTATTTGTTCAATATATTATGTATTATATACGTCTTCTTTATACGTCTAATAAATGATTTAAAAAAATATATATTCACTTTAAACATTGTATGCGGCCCTACCTAGACCAAATCCTAAATCCGCCACTGTTTTAGTGTGCTTATTTGTTACTTTCTGTATAGTAACAATGACACTATCTATTACTTTAAAGTTCCAAATTAACAATAATAGAAACACAAATTCTACGCGTTTCATTACCTATACTTACATTTATTTATATTAAATGTTATATTATTTAAAAATAGTTAATTTGAATTCATGACGTAGACAAGATTTTTGTTTTGCTTTCTAACGCGGATTGTGGACATCACTTCGGTCGAAAATAACATGTGGATAAAAAAATTGCAAAATAGCCTTCACCCTCTCTAATTGAAGTAACATGGAAATTGAAAATTTCTTGGGGTTCTATATACATTTCCGGACTTTTCAAACTATACTGTTCCAACTATTTGTAATGGCATAGCACATAAAAAGGTTTTGAGCAGTATGATTGGTTAACTATGAACAAGCGGAACAGGAACAAAGTGTACTATCTGTCTCCCAAGTACATAAGAGCACAGTGAGCAGATAACATAATAAAAAGGATAGACTTGAATGTCATTATCTTAAAAAAAGCATTATCTATGACCGATTGCACCATTTGCGCTTAAAAGTATATGACTTCAGATCTACACATTTCATCAATCATTTCGAAAGGAATATGTGATTACTGTCAAGGCTCCCTCAATGTTTTTCCCTTACTTTATTCCATCTCTGGACTGCATTTGATAATTGACAGAAGGACCAGAACAGTAGGACTAATTACAATTTAATGCTAAATACAAAATGCTATTTTGAGCAGCATTTTATGTCTCGACCTTCGTCAGTCATAAATAACAAAAAGTATTATTAAATATTAACTTATTTCAGCGACATTTAAACATTTATTACTAAAATAAAAAAATATTTCAAATACTAAATTAAATTAATATCCTAATCTTATACGATTTTGTTTTAAAACAAGTTATTTTTATTAAATGAACTGAAAATTTAAAGTATTTTTTCGAGATTGGAAACATTCTTATTTGGAATAATGAAAAACTTTTGTAATACACAAATGCGAGTCTTTTTGATTGCGGCTATCTGTTTCTTTACCAAGTGAAATTGAATACAACTTGTGAATTGGTGTCAATGTAATGGTAGAAAGATGCACTCTCTTCAGTAATACAATTAGAAAAAAAAACAACATATTGCACTTTGTCTACCTCAACAAGCAAAGCGTAACAAATGAAATCAGAATGGTAATTAAAACACTGGCCTAATTACGATGTATGCCAAAACAAAAAAAAAACTACTGATTGCATAAATAAGTGTCTTACCAGTTTCCTTTGTTAACATCTTAGCATGACACAGTTTAAACACTACATTCGAAGACGCACAGAGCAGTTAAGGTATGACAATCTACAACTGCCCACTATTAATTAAATACAAAAATTTAGACCTGACGTGGTTTTAATGCGTGAGTAATTACAATTTTATATTTAATTAGCGTCGTAATTAGATAAACATTTTTCTAACCTTAACTTTTATTGATTTCTATTAACGTGAAATGTAATATTTATCGTTTTTGAATGGCATGGCTGATTATGGAATTGCGAATACTGTGTGACTAAATTGTTATTACTTATTAGGTACTTTAAGCCGACAATCCTTCTTATTTGCCAATACTTTTAGGAGTCGCCAATATTGTATTATCTTTTGTTTAATTTCGTTAATCACTAAAACGCTTATGTAAAAGAGGAAGTAAAAGTTCATAGCGGTCAAGATATCTGATAGAGTTGACTAGAAAGTGACATGTTTTACAAATGGAGCTTGAACTCAGTCAAGGGAGACCACATAATTGAAAAAAAGGCTTCAATTCTACGACTGGGTGATAATAATCTGTATGGTAATGGATGAACTAGATCAAAATTTGATAGGAGTGGCAAGTGGTTATTTCATAAAGTAGTCCTTTTTCCAATACATTTTTTGTGACCATGAAGAAAAGCCAGAAATCCCTTACTTTAAGATCACCGCTGAGAGATGGAAAATGAACAAAGAAAAACCGGATTTTCTACATTTTTAATGTAATCGTCTGATGATTAGAAAACGTTACACTTTTACCTCAATAAGGAGATCAAGAATGACTATAGATGATCCCGAATGAGAAAATTTACATCTCAAATATGGAAAATTTATGACAGTT